ATAAAAAATGAAAAAAATATGAGTTAATTAAGTGATAAGAGCTAGTTGGGGGAAAAGCCCAAGCTCAGGCCAAGCTTCCATAATTAATAAAAAGCCTCTGGGTCATTATTTGTGGGCTGGCTGGCAGTCCAAGAAAATCCAACAAGAACTAGCTACAGGTAACCTTTTCTCAGGCTCTGAATGGATAATGGTGCCATACGGTTACTAGCACGGCTCTGTCTTAGCCTGGAGAGTTTCCCACTTAGCCTGAAGTGCCCTTCAACATGGTCTCTTAACCAAACTCAACCTTATTTATTTGAATGTGTCAGCATTCTCCAGCTAGGATCCAGAGCGAGACAACCAACAGTTTTGTAACCGTAAGCAACCCCCTTGATCTCCTTGGCCTCTTGTTTTTTTTCTCTGTGAACTGGAGACAGCTTTAATGTCTTCCATAGAAGGTTATCTCGAGAAGAAAACAAAGCTTTGGATACGGGGCCTTCCGTGCATTGTAAGCCCTCGGTAAATGTTATGGTGAAGCTAGGACTAGCAGAAGGGTGCTCAAATACTACCTTAATGCAACTCTAAGTCACTTCCTTCAACTTGGGTTAGGTTTTACGTCACAAATCAATAAAACAAGAAGAAAAGAAAAATCCCCTTTCTTAAAAAATAGTCTGTCAAGTCACCTATCAGAGAGCGTATACATTTGATTTTTCTTATTCAGTTCTGAGAATAGTTTCTACGTTGATATTGGAGAATACACAAGCTTGACTTAAGAAGACAAATCTATGTGCAAATGTCAGAACATTCTATCTCGTTCACAGTGTGGAACCCTGAGGAGACAGACCAAGGCAACACTAAACAATGTCCCCAATACTTGTCGGGGTGGCCCTGTCTCATTCTCAGAATCAAGGCTCCATCCACCTGCTGCTTCCTGGGGACTTAGGGATGGCCGTGAGGGATAAAAGAGACAACAGGCTATACTTTGGATTGAAGAGACTGGCTTCACAGGTGAGGTAAAATTAGTAAATGCAGCTCAGTATGTTTACCTGTGTGCGTATGTCTGGGAGACTTCTTGATGTATGAGGCCGAGCTCATTCTATGTGTTATCCTGTCTAATCCTCATGACCACCCTGAGATGACCATTGCTGCTGTTGTGGTTTGAATCTACAATGTTTCTCATGGGCTTATGTCCATGAATACGAAGTCCCTTGCCTTGGAGACTGGAGCATTCCCGTGGTAGAGCCTGGCTGGAAAAGTGGATTACTGAGAAGGTTATACCCATGATGAGTCAGATATATCTTCTAGATCTGTCTATGAAAGCAATCATCTAATAGTTATCTTTCTGGGTCTGGCTTATTTTGCTTTACATGATGATCTCCGGTTATATCATTTCCCTGACAACTATGTATTTTTTTCTTTTTATGGCTGAATAAAATTCTATTTTGAATATATGCCACCCTTTCCTTTATCCATTCCTCTGTTGATTGACATCTGTGTTGATTCCATAGCTTGGCTATTTTGAATAGTGCACCAATACACATAGATGTGTATTATCTCTTTGGTATGTTGGTTTACAATTTCATTGCATGTGTGCATGCGTATATGTATGTATGTATGTGTATCCAAGACTGATACAGTGGAATCCTTTGGTTTTTCTATTTTTACTTATTTTGAGGGACTTCCATACTGATCTCTATAGTGATTACACAGATTGGCATTCACTTTAGTTGTGTGTGTTTCTCTCTTCCCACATCTCCAGCAGCATTGATTATCATGTGTGTTCTTCATGATAGCCATTCTGACGTGAGGGTCATACAGAATTTCAATGGCGTTTTGAGTTTTCTTTGTTTTTGTTTTTCGAGATAGCGTTTCTCTATAACTTTGGAGCCTATCCTGGAACTAGCTTTTGTAGACCAGGCTGGCCTCGAATTCACAGATATCCACCTGCCTCTGCCTCCCGAGTGCTGGGATTAAAGGCGTGCGCCACCACTACCACCCGACTCTTGAGTTTTCTTAATGGGTAATATGTCAAAAATATTTTCACATATTTATTGGCTATCTGCACTTCTTTGGAAAATCATCCAAATCACTTGCCCATTGAATGACCTTTTGGTGTTTAATTTTTTTTTAGTTTTTTTTTTTTTATCAATTCTAGATATTCCCCTGCCAGATGTGTTGTTGGCAAAGATTTTCTTCCAATCTGTAGGCTTTTCTTCACTTTGTACAGCATTTTGATTTCATGTAGTCCTATTTGCCAGGTTTTATTACTTCCTGAGATGTTAGGATTTTTTTCAGAAGCACATGCATATGCTGAGATCTGAAGTGTTTTCCTCTGGCAAATTTCACACGTTCAGGTTTCGCACTAAATGTCTCTGGTCCATTTTGAGTGGGTTTGAATGAGGCGAGAAATAGAGATCCCGATTTACTCTTGTATGTGTGAATAGTTTTTACCTGTGGTGAGGGGGATACCAATCAGTTTTAAATAGACAGTACCAAAGTCTCAAGAAAGCAGTCTAAATATTACTAGTTAACCAAACCAAATTAAATCTCTACCAGCATATCTTATTTTACCCCCAGTGTCCACAGGGTCCTTGGGGGGTGTTGACAGAGAATCAGCTTCTCCTGAGCCCGAATCATCTGTGGTATAGTCCACATGATTAGTAGACCTAACTCCCTAGGCAGCTGAATGCAAATGTCTCTTTAACGCAGGAAGTGATGTCAGGGCACACAGGTATGGCCATTTACAGGGAAGGTGGGAAGCCAGAATGACTATACCCATCTAATCCTGCGTGCCTAAGGACTCCCTCACCTGAATCCTCTAAGGTCCTCACCATGGAAAACGTAATTAAGGATGATTTTCAGTAAAATTATTTTTTTCAATAGAAACAATTTCATTGTTTTCCTTTCCCCATCTTTTAACTTGTTCTGTGTTTGGGGGCATCAGGAGCCTGCTGGGAACAGAGTTCCAGAGAATGGTGCAGTTGAGCCCTCTGGGGCTATGTGGATGCTGAGGGGTGACCATTATACTGCAGGTCATTTAGTCTCTGGTTACAGGGGATTCTGGGTAGTAGAGGTTTTCTGGGGTTCTTAATATCCAGCCAGGGAGGGGTTCTTGTGGCTTTGTTCTTCAGCTGCCACCTCAGCAGAAAAGCAAGGACAATCTCTAACTAGTAAGTGATGGCCTCAGACACAAAGCCCCGGTTTACAGGGCTTCTGAGCAGGCAAGGTCAAGCGCACTGCTGAGTTCCGGATACCAGTTTTGCACACATGCTTTAATTTTTTTTTGTATGAAGTATGACGGGATATTCAAAGAATTTATTCCTTAAAGAAAGTGCAAGTTAAAATAATTTTTATTCATCAAAACATTTTTAATTTTTATGTATTAATGTGTCTGTGCACTGAGAGCTTGTAGAAACCAGTGGAGGCCAGAAGAGGGCGTCAGAGCGGCAGGAGCGGAAGTTACAGACAGTTATGAGATGTTGCTGGTGCTAGGAATCTAACCTAGGCTTGCTGCAAGAGCTATCTCTTCAAGCCGGAGTCAGTCTTTAGATCTGGTCAAGGTAATTGGCAGGCAAAAAAACAGAAGAGCGCTAACTTCTGTTAGCTTCTCCCAATGTTCTTTTCCTCCTTATTTCTCTCATTTGCCTAGTCGTTTTTGAATCTTTTGCCCAGGAAACAACCTCTAAGGCTCCTTGAAATTAACTGAACCTTTTGCTTTGTTTTATTTTGTTTTGTTTGTTTCTGAGACAGGGGCTTACTCTGTAGCTCAGGTTGGTCTTGAACCTGAGAACTTCCTACCTCAGCCTGAGCGCTGGGATTACAGGCATACATCACCATGCCTGGTTTAGCAGAACATTTTTTTTTTAAAAAAAATGTCTTTCATTCTATTACTTACCTTTGCAAGGTGCGATTAAGGTAGTACCACCGATTTGCCTCTGATAGAAAGAAACGAAGGTGGAAGAGAAAGGCTCCTCGGGGCTCGGATCCTGGAGGGGACCACGAGGAGAAAAGAAATAGGAACACTGGGGTTCTTAGATTCCGCTGGCAAGCCCCAAGTGATGGGCTCTTGTTTACACTTCACAAACCTCTCAAAATAGTCCGTTTAATTCTCATCACGGCCCTGCAAAAGGGGTTGTTTTGAGTCCCATTGTCCAGCTGAGGAAAGGAAGGCTTTGCCTTTCTGGTAGCCACAGGGTCAGCAGGTGGCGGAGCTGTAGGTGTCTGCTGTGTCCCAGTGGCCAAGATAATAAAAGCTGCGCGAACTAGTCATTATTATGCAAAGCTGGGCAGGAGGCTTGGACTCTTCCGTGCAGAAGCCCATCTGTCTTTGCGCGCCGCCCCCCCAGACTCAGAGGGCTTCGTGAACTGAGTCGTGTGGGTGGAGATGCGCCCCCAGACCTTGGCCCTGACAATTTCTCTGAGCCTTTCTAGCCCGAGCCCTCCAGGCAGATCTCTTTCGTATTAAAAAACAAACCCCCTGAAATTATGGCCTCGTCACACCCCGCCCGCCTCCGGGGAATCACATTAATATTAATCTAGATAAATAATTGAATGCCCGAGATTTATTCGGGCCTTGACGAAGGAGGACCCGCAGCTGGGTCGCGGTTCCATCCTGCCACCTGAGGGTTACTGCGGCTAGGATTCTGTGGTGATCCCGATCCCAAAAGTGGTACGATGAGGGTGGGTGTGCCGCCTGTGCGATGTGAGCCGGAGCAGGTGTCGAGAGAGTGATGGGGAGAGCCAAGGCTTCTCCAAGGATTGGGGACGGAGGGGCATCCCGGGTCTCAGCACTTGGCCCAGCAAAGGGTGACCCGGGGCCACTCAGACTTGAGAGGAAACAATAGAGACTCCTTAGATCCTGGGCTCCTGCCACCCACCGGCTGTCCAAAGCGTTCCCGGACTACCGGAGGGCTTTTGTTTTTTTTTTTTTTTTTTTGGCTAATTTTTGGCTGGAACGGGGGGGGGGGGGGGAGGAAGACAGAGGAAGGACAGCGTCTGAAGATGTGGGGCAGGGGCGACGGTTAAAGAAGTCGCCCCAGGCTGCGGCGCGGGTGATGTCAGCTCTCGACAAAAATAGAGAGGGATCGCCTGCAAATCCCCAGCTCCGGCGGGGCTAAACCTTGCAATCCCTCCCGGGCCGGCGCCGAGCCAGGGCACAGCGGCCTCCACCGCCTCCCCCAGCGCGCACACACCAGCACACGCGCACGCACGCACACACTCCCCCGCACTCCCGGTCTTCCCGGGTGTCCCAGGTGCCGGACACTCGCCGCACCAGTTTGCTCCGCGGTGAAGCACACACAGGTGGCGGCCGGGAGGCCGGGAACGCGTTCCTGCAGCTCTGCAGCCGAGGTGCTCCAGTAGGAGCCAGTGTAGGATCCCCGCAGAGCCTCTCGGAGCACTGGCCGCGAGCCGCTCACGGGAACGCGGACCGCGCGTCGTGGATTAGCGCCCGCAGCAGCCTCTCGCGCGCGCCGAGGCGCTAAAGGGCTTACCCAGGAGGGGGGTGCGAGGGCGGGGAGAGGCTGCCCGTTAAATACCGCTCCCCGCCGCACTCCAGGCTCACCCAGCTCGCCGCCACCGTTGCCAGACCGTGCCCGGGAGGAGGGGGCGTTCCCCACGCCATGGCATCAACGGAAGGGTGAGAGGGCTTTTCTGGGTACCTGCCGGGAAGTGGGAGCCACGCGCGGGGTGATGCTGCCCTATCCCAGAAGGGAACAGAGAACTGTGATTCTGGACCTTTGAAACCGCGACAGGACGACAGCTGGAGGTGGAGGGGAAGGGGACTAATTTCTGTGATGGATTAGCTGTCCTTTGAGGATGCGGGAGACAGAGTCTTGGTTCTAATGTAAGGGACGAAGTACCATGGAATGTGAAAAAGTGTAAAAAGAAACCCTTTGGAGGTCGTTTCAGAGATTTAAAGACAATAAAAGATTGTCCCTGGTGCCAGGAGACACTGTCTGGGCTGCAAGGTGGGGACCTCGAGGAATGAATGAGCCAGGATCTGAGCCCGGGCGGGGCAAGGAACAGCACGCGGCCTTGAACTCTAGCTTTGGGCGCGGGTGGGAGGCGGGGGCTAACCCCGACCCAAGAGATCTTTGCTCTTAGGCATTGGAATCTCCCTAGCCAGCAGCAAAAAAGGGTGGAAGAGATTTGGGTGCTTCCCGAAAGAAGGGGAGAAAACCTGTAGCTTGGAGCAGGGCAGGAGTTTCCAGACTCTATTGGGAATATCACTGGCTCCTTTATTTTGCCTGTGGCCTTGGGTTCCCCTCTTGAGGCTGCAATTGGCATGGTGATCACTTCTGTGAAATAGAAGGGCAACTGTATTTAGCAAGGGGGACATGGGGAATGCAAGGGCAAGAGAGTCCCTTGAAGACTGCAAGGCAGTCTGGTTCTGTCTCCTACAAAAACTTTTCAGACTTTCCGGAGCCTAGAAGGGAACCCAAAGAACGTTTGGGGACCCCAGCTTTTCGGTTATTTCACAAAAAATGGCACTAGCTGCTTGCAAGAGATCCCTGGACCCACATGTGGTGTCCAAAGCAAGTATGGGGGCTTCTCGGGACTCTACACTGAGACCTTGGTTCTGGTATTTTCTGGAGCTTTTTAAATAGAAATCGCCAGCTTTCCGTGAGGTGGTGGGTGGAAGGACTCTAAGCAGGAGTGGAGAGATGATGTTCAAAGTCAGACTTCTCGATTCCAAACTCAGACAAGGAAAATATTCTAAACCTGTATCCAAGAGAAAGAACCCATCTATCTATGTCTCTCTTCCCACGAGTCCTGCCGGAGGTGCCTGACATCTTGTCTAGAATGAAATTTCCTCACATTGCCCTATTTACCAGTGTGGACCTTTGAAATGATTACTTAACAAAAAAGATGCTCCAGATTGGTACTCCAGATTGGTACATGTGGTCTCTAGTGTTCAAACACATCTCTAGAGTTAAATATTAAGACTCCACAGCGCTACTCTGTGTTTGATTTAAAAGACTTTCATCTTATAACGGGTATAAAGGTATTTCTGGCTACCTATAGGAATCTTCTAGAATTACTTCAGTCTTCAGAGTCTTAGTTGGAAAATCTCTTTGGAAATTATTGTTTTTCAAACACTACATCCAACTTACTCTCTACTCTGATGGTCAGAGGAGAGACAAGAGAGATGATAGCAAAAACTCCTCAAATGTGCTTTTTCCTTCCTCCTAAGTGAGAGCTACCAAATGGTGTGAAATTTAAGGTAAAACAGATGTGATTTTCAAGACTGAAAACCAATTCTAGTTCAATTCGTGCCATCTTGTGCACTGTGCAAGGTTAGGGAATGATTGCCAAAGAAATTTGCATTTAAGAGATGAAAACTGAAAAAAAAATCTAAAAACTGGAAAACAAATGTAGAAAAATATGTTATTATTTAAGAGCAGTAATTGGTCAGAAGGAGACATTCTCAAAACCCTTCTTTTCTCCCAGAAGCCTTTGCAGAATCTTTGTTGGGTAGAATGCACCTGCTAGCTCTCTAGTAGAGATAAAGAGACACAGCTTGCCTTGGAGATGACTTTCAGAAGGTTTTCTCGGGGGAGGGCTTTTATTTCCAGATTGTTCTCATGCACTGGTGAGATTCATTTGCCCCTTCTGATATCTTTGGGTAATGCACCTTGAAAAGGAAATTCAGGAAGAGTCCCCTAGCTAGTCTCTTTGTCAGTCTTTGTCTTCTGACAATATTAAAGCTGTTTTTCTGAAATATACATTGCTTGGAAGGATGCTGAAATAGCACTGTAATTACATGCTTTCAGTTTATACATGTTCAACTTTATTCATAAATGCTGGGGGAGTGGAGTGGTATATTAAACCCATCGATCTGCTGAGTGTTTATTTGGTGATCAAGGTGCCTTCGAGAGCATATGCAAATTGCTACTCATTATAGAATTATTAGAGGCAGCAAATATATTTGTTTAGCGCTTGCTTTAAAGCATATTTATATATATTTATATTCACTTTTCTTATAGCTCTGCGCAGTAGGCAATCTAATGAAAATAGACTTGAAGGCTCAGAAAAATATACCGTTGTGATGGTACAACATAGTGCCATCTTTCCAGGAAGACTGTGGGATTTGACAGAGCTTTGGGGTAGCATCTGGAAATGTCACTTGTCAGTAACGAGCGTGTGAAGCATGGCTTGTGCCTATTGTCAGCGGATTTCCTTAAAATCTTTGTATACATTTGTGGAAAGTTGTCTTTTAGAATACTTTTATACTTCATGTGTTTGATCCTTGTCCTTTTATAGACCATAACAAACGTTGTTATAAAAATCTGAAGTTTCTGATTATGTTGTCCTGGGAATATCAGCGTGGTTTTTTAATAAAATTCAGCAGTAGCTCTTGTAGTTTCCAGGGTCTGGTAAGTGTTTTCCTGCAAAAGCAAGGTTCAACTTAACAGTGGCATGTCTTTTGTTGTTGTTGTTGTTGCTGCTGCTGCTGCTGCTGCTGTTCCCTAGTCCTAGGCTGGAATTACTGAGATGGCTTTTAGGTTCCTGACCCAAATTGGAAAGAGATTATAAGTCGCTGGTGACAGGCAGGCTAGTGTCTGTTATTGACTGGGTCAAAGTGGAGTGGCCAGATGCTGAAGAGACAACCATTTTAGAAATATGTTTCTAAGGCCAGGGATGGAGTCTGTACATATATCAGAGACTCCTGGCCATCTATCTTCTGATCAGCTCCCAGGAGCCAAGGGGTCAGGGTTGCACCAATCAGGAGGGCTAGGGTTTCAGTCTGTCTTAGAGAGCAAGTGAAACAGAAAACTGCTGACAGCAAAAAAGCCCCGCCAGGGGAGACCCCTGAATTTATGAGTCCCAACCCACGATGCTAAACATAGCGACTGCCTTATCCTCCTCCCCTCCCCCCACCGCCCGCCTCTGAAAATGAAATGGAAGGGAGCAGGAGGATGAGCTCCTGCTTATTATGGGGTGCGTGGAGGGCCGGGGCGATGGGGTCTATGAGGGCTTGCATATGTATGTCTCAGGCTGCACTGGAACTCATTCCTCACTTTCAAGAATATGGAAACGAGGTGAAGTGGGTATGAACGGAGCTATGATAAAGCCGTCCCATGTTTACCGAGGCAGTCTCTTGTGAGTAGTTGAAAACTTAATTCTCCAGAAACAATTTCTAAATCCAAATGAGACTTGCAAAGTGGGAATGGCAGCTTATTACAAACCACATGGCAGGGCTGAGCCTCAGACCCAAGGGTCATGCTGTTTCCCCTTTTCGTTGTACAGTGAGGCATCCTCTCCTTTGGCTTCTGCACTTAGGGATATGTCAGGCCTGGCCGAGTCCCTCAAAGATGAGACTCTCACCACACAAACAAGCAATATTCACACAACACTCTGGGTCAGTGTGCTGAGGTCCTTCAATTCCAGATATGCCTGGCATCTTCACAATTTGAAGCTCAAACACAGGTTAATTTCTTGGCAATTCCCTGTGCACCTTCCCCCATGACTGTATCAGCTGTAATGATGTCTGAATTGCCTCCCTTTAAAGGCGAGCTAAATTGTTTCCTAGACTGAATTGTTCGCCCCCCTGGGTTGCCTTGTCTCTTGGAATGAGCTGAATCTTCATTTCAGTTGCCTGCTATCATTATTTTAATCTAATGAAACAGAGATAACTTAAAATCCCCTAGCATTAGTAGGCAGAAGCACAGATCTCAGGATAAAAAGACTTATTTAGGTTTGCATTTCGAAAACGTGTCCTCACAGTTTGAACAATATACCTCACAAATGTCAGTCAGTGCCTGCTGGCCCACAGTCGCCCCTCCCCACTGCGTGGTGTGGGGCAGGAGGCATGCTTCGTAGAAAGGGTTTGGAATCCAGATTACAGCAAATCTCTTTATTTGCCAGGGCTGTGGGATTGCTTTCTCCTCCCTCTGCCCGCCCCTCACCCTGCAGCGTCAAGTCCTTAGAATGAATTAATTAGGGGGAGTGTTTAAAAATATCTCATGGCTCCATCTCCACGTGCTCTGTTATTGACTGGAGGCAGATGGGCTGCATGTTTGTCAGCAGAAGAGAGGGGCCACTGCTGTTCACTATGTACCTGTCTGGTTGGCTTCAAATAGCATCAGAGAAGACCCTGGGCCCCAGCTACACTGACAGCGAGCGAAAGCTGCCTTAACCTTTCAAAGGATATACCTTTATTTTATTTATTTATTTTTTGCATAGCTTTGTTGCATTTTCAAGATTGTTTCTCAAAGGCACTGCTATTTTCTTTCATTTGTTTACTTAACTGTCTCACTTAGACAAGCAGACGTGGTCACTGTCTGCTCCACTGTCAGCTGGAGTTTCTGGTGATGTCGCCAGCTGCCTTGAATTATAGACTCATTGAGCAAGGACTGGCCTTTGAAAAGAGCATGAAGGGAATGAACCCCACTTGGGCAGCTGGACTTGATCTGCGTCAACCCCAGTCCCCTCTAGGATGGATGATGGCAAAGACCTTGCATGAGGTCCCTGGGGACAAAGGCGTCGGTATTGTCTCTGGGTGTCATGTATATTAAAGGAGCCATTTAAATGGCAGGCGGGACTTTGCTTTGTTGCATTGGTCAGGATGGCCATCTGTCATTTTGCTGTTCCTAATCTGGCACGGAACTTTGAATCATATGCTCCCACTCCTGG